CAGGTGAGCGGGTGCACTCCATTTGGCAGGCATGTGCGCAGGGCTGAGCGGGTGCACGTGAGCGGGCGTACTTTCCATGTGGCAGGCATGTGTGCAGTGCTGAGAGGGCGAACGCGAGCGGTGTGCTTACCATTTGGCAAGCACGTGTGCAGTGCTGAGCGGGCGCACGTGAGCGGGTGTGCTTACCAGTGCTGAGCGGGTGCATGTGAGCGGGCGTGCTTAGCATTTGGCAGGCATGCGTGCAGTGCTGAGCACGTGAGTGGGTGTGCTTATTATTTGGCAGGCATGCGTGCAGCGCCGAGCGGGTGCACGCGAGTGGGTGTGCTTACCATTTAGCAGGCATGTGTGCAGTGCTGAGCGGGCGCAAGTGAGCGGGCGCGCTTACCCTTTGGCAGGCATGCGTGCAATGCTGAGCGGGTGCAGGTGAGTGTGCTTACCATGTGGCAGGCATGTGTGCAGCGCTGAGCGAGCGGAAGTGATTAGCGTTTGGCAGGCATGTGTGCAGTGCTGAGCGGGCGCAGGTGAGTGCTTACCATTGGCAGGCATGTTCAGTGCTGAGCGGGTGCACGTGAGCGGGCGTGCTTACCATTTGGCAGGCATATGTAGCGCTGAGCGGGCGCACGTAAGCGGGTGCGCTTACCATTTGGCAGGCGTGGGCGCAGTGCTGAGCGGGCGCACGTGAGCGGGCGTGCTGAGCATTTGGCAGGCATGTGCAGTGCTGAGCGGGCTCACGTAAGCGGGCGTGCTTGCCCTTTGGCAGGCGTGGGCGCAGTGCTGAGCAGGTGCAGGTGAGCGGGTGTGCTCACCATTTGGCAAGCATGCGTGCAGTGCTGAGCGGGTGCACAGTGAGCGGGGTGCTGAGCGGGTGCAGGTGAGCGGGTGTGCTGACCACTTGGCAGGCATGTGTGCAGTGCTGAGCGGGCGCGTGAGCGGGTGCGCTTACCATCTATGCGCGGTGATGAGCGGACGTTTTTTGCATGTCGCAGGCATGTTTGCAGTGCTGAGCGGGTGCAGGTGAGCGGGCGTGCTTACCATTTGGCAGGCATGTGTGCAGTGTTGAGCGGGCGCACGTGAGCGGGCGTGCTTGCCAAGCGGGTTCACGTGAGAGGGCGCGCTTACCGTTTGGCATGTGTGCAGTGCTCAGCGGGTGCACGTAAGCGGGTGTGCTGACCACTTGGCAGGCGTGGGCGCAGCGCTGAGCGGGTGCACGTGAGCGGGCGTGCTTACCATTTCTGCGCGCAGTGATGAGCGGGTGCACGTGAGCGGACGTTTTTTACCATTTCGCAGGCATGTGTGCAGTGCTGAGCGGGTGCAGGTGAGCGGGCGTGCTTACCATTTGGCATGCATGTGTACAGTTCTGAGCGGGCGCACGTGAGCGGGCGTGCTTACCAATTGGCAGGCATGTGTGCAGTGCTGAGCGGGTGGCAGTTGAGCGGGTGTGCTTACCATTTGGCAGGCATGTGTGCAGTGCTGAGCGAGCGCAGGTGAGCGGGTGTGCTTACCATTTCGCAGGCGTGTGCGCACTGCTGAGCGGCTTCACGTGAGCGCTCGCGCTTACCATATGGGACGTGTGCAGCGCTGAGCGGGCGCAGGTCAGCGTGTCGGGTCGGGTCTCGGGTCTCGGGTCTCGCGGGTCTCGGGTCTCGAGTGTCGGGTCTCGGGTCTCGGGTCTGGGTCTCGGGCGTCGGTCTCGGGTCTCGGGTTGGGTCTCGGGTCTCGGGGTCTCAAGTCTGGGGTCTCGGGTTTCGGGTCTCGGGTCTCGCGGGTCTCGGGTCTCGGGGCTCGGGTCTCGCGGGTCTCGGGTCTCAAGTCTCGGGTCTCGGGTCTGGGTCTCGGACTTGGGTCTTGGGTCTCGGGTTTCGGGTGTCGGGGTCTCGGGTCTCGGTCTCGGGTCTTGCCATGGGTCTCGGGGTCTCAAGTCTCGGGTCTCGGGTCTGGGGTCTCGAGTCTCGGGTCTGCGGGCGGGTCTCGGGTCTCGGGTCTCGGGACTCGGGTCTTGGTCTCGGGTCTTGGGTCTGGAATGTCGGGCCTCGGGTCTCGGTTCTCGGTTCTTGGGAAGTGCTCGTTGTCAAGCGCGTTCTGACATTTTCTGTAAACAACCGCCGCGCTTCACTGGGCTTTGGGAAAGAAAGAATCCACATGGTTTTGAAAAAACACACGGTCAGGATTTCCGAATTGGCCCTTGTTCCTGCTCACTGGCCATTGGAACGAAGGCTCCGTGTTATGTGAAGTAGTCAACCCAGTGTTGCGATGCTGTTTACCTTAGTTTCCCTTCAGCGCCATGCGAAACTTCCACCGTGCCGGATCCTTGGTAAGGGCCCTGTGCTGTGGACCCCAGACATGTTATGCATCTTCTGTATAGCACCCTCTTTTGTGAGTTCACCTAATATCCCTGTTTAGGAGACACCCGCCTTTCTCTCAACACATGCGAAGCTGCGAAGCGTCTTGCTGGCCTCGGGAGTCCCAGCACTTCAAGAGCATCACCTCGTCCTTCTCCATCCTGACGGGTGTCGATTTAAGGATTCTCCGCGATGTGGCAAGTTGATTTCGCAACTTAAATGTGGCTTCCCTGAACACTACAAAAGAAGGCCGGGATTCGGTCCATGAAGTAATGCTTCGCATCGTTTCGGTTCCCCCTGCGCTTCCCAATTAACATCCGCGCTTCGCTTCTTTTGTCTGCGCTCTTTCATTGCCCCACACTTTCGTCCATTGAGTCGCACGGCTCTTTTGGAACTGTATGTCTGATCGTGCAGGGCCGAGAAAGGATAGATGTCCCACCATCCACGACACGACTGGCGCGCGCCAGCTGTCAAGATGCAGCGCGCCTGGCAAGCGCCTGTTCAACGGCCCAGGCTCGTGTCTGCGCCACCCTGGTCTGGCCACAGGTGCTATCTGCAGGGCTCTTCACGCAAGCGTGCAGCCAAGTGGCCAAGCACTTTACAACACAAGGCGGCATCAAGGCTAGAAGCTGCGGCGCATCTTGGGCTCTGCGTTTTGGTCCCCGTGCGCGCACACTGAGCTGTCATTGGGCGCCAACTCTTGCAAAGCGGTTGCCAATGAGCGTGCCTGCCTGGAGCGCGCGCACGCAGCGGCTCGACTGGCAAGCACGTGGCAGTCGGCCCGCGGCTACACCTGTACCGCAACGTGGCACGCAACCTGCTGTGTCGCCAAACATGTGAAATTGATCAAGCCATCGACAAAGCGACAGGGGGCAGTGTCTTGGTTTGAAGTTGTTTCAGTGACTAGTAGCGCAAACAGAGCACGCTGATTACCCCCTGCGCTGCAGACGGCGGCCAACACTCAACACACTGAGAGTAGGAAGTAGGGTTCGCGCAAAGCTTGGGCTGTCCGGCACAATCAGTTGAACCAGTTGGGCCTAACGTGACAGCTGGCCGCGCTATAGTGCGCGGCACGGGCATGAAGCCTGCCACGCAGGGAGCGTGGCAAACATGTGAAAGGCCCACGATATGGATGAAGTACGGGATGATGGAAGTGTGCAGGAAGTCGTGTGTCCACGATTGACGAGAAATGCGTGCTTAACTTGTCCGCGCGGCATGCAACCTAGCAACCAGCTGCGCTTTTGCCAACTGGCAAGAAGCGGACATCCCAGAATGCCTGAACCGCTCCCCCGAATCGCCTGTCTGGATTCTGTCTTCCCCTGCTTTTGCGCCGCAGCCGCGCTTCTCGGAAGCAAAAGTCCGCAAAGCACACTGCGTGGGCACGCAGACTGCTGCGCAAGGAGTGCGCACAGTATGATGTTGTTGATCCAGCTATCTACAGCAATCTCACCTGAAATCATGGGCTGATCTCTTGGCTTGTAGTCGTTTCAGATAGCGCAAGCGTCGCGCGCTGGTTACCTTCTGCGCAGACATCCGTGCGGCGGCAGCTGCCATCCTTGCGCGTGGATGCGGAACGGCCGCCAACACTGACTCAACTGCGGGAGGGAAGCAGGGTCTGGGCAAAGCTTAGGAAGGCATGAACCGTGTGTTGAATGCGAAAGCTGGGCACAAAAGCACCTCGTCATAATGAAGCTTGTTGATCAAACGCCAGCCACCGCAAAGGGCTCGCCAAAACAAGCTGGCATCATTGGAGTGTTGCAGGGTCTTTCCACAACGGAGAAAACAAACAAAAAACGGACCGCGGGTCGCGCATGTTGCAAGCGCGCAGGAGCTGGGCTTCTCTGTCTCTCTCTCTCTTTCTCTCTCTCTCTCTCTCTCTCTCTCTCTCTCTCTCTCTCTCTCTCTCTCTCTCTCTCTCTCTCTCTCGCTCTCGCTCTCTCGCTCTCGCTCTCTCGCTCTCGCTCTCTCGCTCTCGCTCTCTCGCTCTCGCTCTCTCGCTCTCGCTCTCTCGCTCTCTCGCTCTCGCTCTCTCGCTCTCGCTCTCTCGCTCTCGCTCGCTCTCGCTCTCTCGCTCTCGCTCGCTCGCTCTCGCTCTCTCGCTCTCGCGCTCGCGCTCGCTCTCTCTCTCTCTCTCTCTCTCTCTCTCTCTCGCTCGCTCTCTCTCTCTCTCTCTCTCTCTCTCTCTCTCTCTCTCTCTGTCTCTCGCTCTCTCTCTCTCTCTCGCGCTAAAATCAAAGTGTTGTTTACTAAAAGCACAAGTGCTGTTAGGTTGTTAACGCAACAGTCAAACCTGAAGTCTGCACAGCTCCTATTTTGGATGGGCTCAAGCGACACGCTCAACACCTGCGATCATGTGCAAGCTATGTAGCACCACACCACATGTACATTGACATGGCCCCTCACTTGTCATGGCCTTGTAGTATCCTACACCTGCAAGAAAAAAGATTGACAGTGGCTATGAGAGCGTTGCTGTTCATCAATGCTACTGTGTTGCGCAATAGTCGTCAAACTGAGTGGCAAGGTTGGCTCGGGGAATTTCATGTAGTGTGCTCACGAAAGTAGTTGCGCTGTAGTACCTAGTTGCATCGTGCGGCAGTCGAGCAGTTCCTGGCCAGCGCCCCGGGTCCGGTTGTAGTCCTTCGCCAGATTCACTGTAGTGATGCGTAGTTGTCGTAAGGTTCGAAGTAGTAGTCGATGAACATCCTCTGAACCATGTGCAGCTATAACGAGGTAGTGGCCATCGTGTTCCGTACTCTAGTTTGGGAAGCATTTTGTAGCGCGCTCGACTGCGTCGTTGTAGTTATGGAGTGTGTGAAAGTGTAGGAGCTGTTGAGCGTTGATCAGCAGGTGGTAGTCCCAAGTGTCGTCATTGGAGAGCGTGTGCCCAGGGTGAACTCGTTGACGTTGAGTCGAAGGTGGTTGGCTGCTCATGATGGATGTAGAACGATTGACACAGTCCCTGATGAAATTATCCAGGGGGTTGTCTCTGAGCGATTGCCGGATGTAGTCAACGGGTAGTGCTGCTGTGATGAGCACGTAGTCGTTGATGTGGTTGTGGCACTCTGTAGTAGCGCCAAACCTGATGCAGTGTGCATCATGTGGAGTCGATTGTAAGTTGGAAGTGGGTGTAGTGGAAGAAATGGTGTGGCTGGCTTGGAAGTGGCTGTGGCGCGCAACAGGTTGATGGTAGTAGCCTCCCATCCTGCAGTGAGAAAACGGAAGTCCTCAACCATCATTGGGGTGTAGAACTTGGTGCGCTGGGGCGTGGCGTTACCCGTAGTACCTTGAAGTCGCCTGAGTTGTAGATTTGCGGGAGGTTTGGGTTGTGTGGGAGTTGGGAGTCTGTAGCCGGGCAAAGTCGTGGCCGGCAGTGAAGCCGGTGCGCCCATGTAGTCGCCTCTGGAGTGGTTGACATTGCCACCTCGCCCCCCGGAGTTCTCACAAAGCGACCCATGGCTCAAGTGACCTAACAGCCAAACAGTGCAAGTGACATTGCAAGTAGTTTCTGTCAAGTACATGCAAGATGTTACATGTAGCTACATACATACAACTGGTTGGATTTGTTGTGAAGGAGTTGTGGCGGTCAGTCGTGGTGCTAAATGCGTACGCTGATGCATTGGGTAAACAAATCTGCGCTGTTGCGAAGTGTGTTGATCTTGAGGATTCTTACGATGTCGTGTTTTGAGGAGGTCTTGTGCGTAGAGAAATTTGAGGTCCATGTGCTTTGCTCGATTGCTTGCGTCTGTCGTGTAGCAATGCTTTTGCCTGCTGTTGAATCTGCGTGAATGCGTAGGGTTAGCTTGCTGCGAATGTTTGTTTCAAGTAAACAGTTTCTGAGGTGTGGTCCTATCGTAGCTTGTGTCCTGCTGCCAGACGCAACTGCTGTTCCAAGGAAGTGGGTGTTGAAACCTGAAGTTGGTTTCCTGGTGGTAGGGTATCCTGCCCAGCCCGCATCGACGTGAACGTCGAGGTCTAGGATGTTGTTGGTGTTTGTTCTGAGTGTTGTTGTTGGCTCTATGGTGAAGGGTGTTGACTGGTGGATGTCCTGGTCCATCGAGGTGCAAACAGGTTAGGTCTAAGTGATGTGTGATGTCTTCTCCAGCGTTCACCTTGTCTGTCCGAGTCGTCTTGGTTGGTGGTCTGTGTGTGGTCGCCTTTGGTTGTGTAGTGTCTAGGTCTGTGGAAGGAGCTGCTTTGCTCCATATCTTTTGTGGAGTTCTTAGTTGTAGCGTTGGCTGTGTTGGTGGGGTGTTCGTGGCTTGTTGTGATTGTGCGCTTTGTCTTGTGGTGTAGTCCTTATTGTCACCCCGTGTGTAGGTGTGACTTTTATTGACATCTGGTTTCTCCAGTCACCTTCAAGTCTTCTCTGTTTTTCTCGTTTGGAAAGTTGTTTGGTGTTCTCTTGTAGTTGTTCTTGCTCTTGCCCTTGCCTGTTTTTGATGCCAAGCAGCTAGTTGTTCTTGTGGTGTTGGGCAGCCGCTGTTGTGTGAGGTGAAGAGTGCTTTGTGTGGTTGTTTGTGGCTCCACTTGTTTGTGGACTCGGATGGCGTAGCCACCGTCGAGTTTCCAGTAGCCGGTGTTTCTACCAAGGAGTGTGTGCTAGTGGTGCAGTTTGTTCTTATTGCTGTTGCTTTGTTCTCTGTAGGCTGCTTCACAGCAATGGATTCTCCATTCTCTGTATGTAGTCACTGGATAGATGTCGATCTTTTCTGCTCGCAAGTAGACAAGTCCTGAGTGTCTGATTAAGAGCACTTGTTGTTGTCTTTGAGTACTGGTGCAGTGTCGTGTGGGTTGAAGTCAAGTCCATACCCTCTATCAAGTAGTCTTGATGCACTGAGGCTAGGATACTTCACATCATCTACGTAGTCGGGTGTATGATCCGGAAGTTCCTTGTTTAGGTCGCGTATGTTTGCTCTGATGTCTGCATCCTCAAGACATCGTGTAGTCACTTGTGCTATAATTGTAGTACCAGGTCAAAGTCTCAGTCTACGAGTCCAAGATAGGCTTGCAGTTTGAACAGCCATTCTTCGGACTGGGAGTAGTCACCGGTCAAGAATGGTGCTGGCCGTGTAGTCTTTGGGCGTCGTTGCTTTGCAACTCCTGTTTCCGTGGTCATGGCTCCGACTGTCTGACGCTGGTTCTCCTGATATGTCGTAATAGT